CTACTTGATGATGGTGATGATCTCTTTATTGTGTTCTTAGATTCAATTTGCAAATATATTATTGCTTCAAAGTGCATAAGTGAAAATGGTCTGGAATTCTCGTTCTTTTTTAGTATTTTTGCATTTTGCGTGTCAGGGTGACTAGACTCATAGAATGAATTTGGCAATGTTTGTTCTGTTTCAATTTTGTAGAATAAATTGAGGCATATTGGTATTAGCTCTTCTTTGAAGGTCTAGTGGCCTTTGGCTCTTTTAATGACTGCTTGGATATCCTTGGGTGTTATAGGTCTATTTAAATTGTTTACCTGATCTTGATTTAAAATTAGTAAGTGATATCTATTGAGAAAATTGTCCCTCTCTTTTAGATTTTCCAATTTTGTTGAGTAAAGTTTTTGAAGTATGACCTAATGATTGTTTGAGTTTCCTCAGTGTCTATTGTCATTTACTTCTTTTGGTTTCTGATTTTGTTAATTTGGATATTCTCTCTTTGCCTTTTGGTTATTTTGCATAAGAGCTTCTCTATCTTGTTGATTTTCTCAAAGAACCAACTGTTTGTTTCCTTGATTCTTTGTATTGTTCTCTTTGTTTCTATTTTATTGAATTTACCCCTCAGCTTGATTATTTTATATCATTTTCTCCTCTTAGGTGTGTGTGTGTGTGTGTGTGTGTGTGTGTGTGTGTGTGTCTGTCTGTCTGTCTGTCTGTCTGTCTGTCTGTCTGTCTGTCTGTCGGTATTCTTTGGATTTGCTGGTGTAAGAGTATATATTCTCTGTATTTTAATGGGTGTGATAAACTTTGTTAGGTTACTGTTTTCCTTCTAGTAACTTTTGTAAGGTTGGAATTGTGGATAGATATTACTTAAATTTGATTTTGTCATGATTTATCTTGGTTTCTCCATCTATGGTGATTGAAAATTTTCCTGGGTATATTAGTCTGGACTAGCATTTGTGGTCTCTTAGACTCTGCAAGACATTTGTCTATGATCTTATGATTTTTGAGTCTCCACTGAGAAGGTAGGTTTAATTTTTAAAGTTTAATTTTAATTTTAAAGTTTAGTAGTCATTTCTTGTCTGCTAAGTTTAGTGTTTTAGGTATTATGTGACACAGAGACTTCTTTTCTGATCTAATCTATTTGGTGTTCTGTAAGCTTCTTGTACAATAGTTTAATAGGCATGCCCTCTATAAGCCAGAGAAATTTTCTTGTTTGATTTTCTTTAAAGTATTTCCATGATATTTATGCTGAGATTCTGCTCCTTCTTCTATTTCTATTACTCTTAGATTCGTCTTTACTTGATGTTAGAGATTAATTGAATGTTTTATGGTAGGAGCTTCTCAGCTTTAATATTTTTTGCCTAATGACATTATTACTTTTCTATTGCATCCTCAATGCCTGGGATTCCCTCTCCGATTCGTATTCTGTTAGTGATGCTTGCATCTATACTACCTATTCTCTCACCTAGATTTGTCGTTTCCTGAATTCCCACAATTTGTGTTTTTATTGCTTCTGTTTTGATTTTCATGCCTTGAATAGTTTCCTTACCTGTTTGGTTTTTTTTCTTAGCTTTGTAGCATTCTTTGAGGGATTTTTTGATTTCCTCTAATTTTTTGCTTAGCTTTGCATCAATTACTCTAAGTGAGTTTTTCACTTCCTCTTTAAGGACATTTCTTATCTTCCATAAAGTTGATTTTGAGGTCATTTTCTTGTGCTTTCACTGACTTGTAATATTCAGGTATTGTTGTCTTTGGATAGATGGGCTTTGGTGGTGTTGCATTGCCCTATCTGTTGTTCATTGTATTTCTTACCCTGCAATTTAGGCATCTTGGGTTGGGATGATTAGTTTTAGTCCCTGATTTCTGGATGGGTGTATTTTTTACTTGATTTCTCTTTCTAGTATTTTTTTCCTGGTTTTCTAGTAACTGGCACAACCTCAGTTCCACTTGGGACTCTATTCAAGTTGACCCTTTCGTGGTTATCTTGGCCTTTCTTGTAGTTTGGGGACTGTAGACTTCTGTCTGTCCAAGTAGAGAGTTGACTCTCTGGTGGTTATCTTGGCCTTTGTTGTAGTTGGGGCTCTGTAGACTTCTGAGAGGTTTGTCCTTCACCTAAGCAGCTGGAGTCTGACCAAGCTGGTTTGGATTAACTTTAGAACTCTTTAAAGAATAACTGGACAGTTTTCCATCATCTGAAGAAATTGATTACTATTTGAATTTCATTTGTCCAGAAAAAAATTTATAATCTTGTCATTACATGGAGTATCCTGATGTAGACATTGCAGAAAAGGGGGATTCTAAATAGTTGGTTACCTTGGCAATATAGTAAAGAAGAATGTGCCAGGCTGCATAAAACATCAGTGGAAGACACTCTTAGTGGATTGAATATGGAATGAGTAAATCCTTGTAGATGCTGAAATGTCGGTTCATTTCTCCCATAGATCAGCAGAAGTGTATCCCTTGTCCAATTCAACAGTACCCAAACCCTGAGAGAAACAACTGCCTTCCCAAGTCAATGACATTCCTATCTTTGGAAGATTCTCTCGGCTTGGCTTTGGTCTGTGTAGCTCTCTGCTTCTCTGTCAGCACAGCTGTAGTTTTGGGGATCTTCCTCAAACATCAAGACTCACCCATCATTAAGGCCAATAACCGGACACTCAGCTTCATCCTGCTCATCTCTCTCCTCCTCTGCTTCATGTGTACCTTTCTCTTCATTGGCCAGCCAAGCACAGCCTCCTGCATATTACAACAAATTACATTTGCACTCGTGTTCACTCTGGTTCTTTCCACTGTTTTGGCCAAAACTATAACTGTAGTTCTGGCCTTTAGAGTTGTAAAACTAGGAAGAACAATGAGAAGACTGTTTGTCTCGGGCATCTATAACTCTGTCATCCCCATCTGTTTCCTGATGCAGCTTATTCTCCTGGGAGTCTGGATGGGAACCTCACCTCCCTATATTCAAGCAGATGCACATTCTGAACATAGTTACATCATCATTTTGTGCAACAAGGGCTCAGTCACTGCTTTCTACTGTGTGCTGGCATACTTGGGGATCCTGGCCCTAGGAAGCTTCACTGTGGCTTTCCTGGCTAGGAACCTGCCTGACACATTCAATGAATCCAAGTTCCTGACATTCAGCATGCTGGTGTTCTGCAGTGTCTGGGTCACCTTCCTCCCAGTCTACCACAGCACCAAAAACAAGGCCATGGTGGCTGTGGAGGTCTTCTCCATCTTGGCCTCCAGTGCAGGACTGCTAGGGTGCATCTTTATCCCAAAGTGCTACATTATTCTCCTAAGACCTGACAAGAACTCTTTGAAATGCTTCAAAAATAAAACAAAATACAGACACAACAGATTATTTTGATGAATTAACTAACTATCTCATAAAATACATTAGTAAAGTTAAGTTAGTTACCTATTTTATAGCAAGTTTTTTCTGAAA